TATTTACGATAATTTTTTTATATATACATCTGAAAAATGTGATTTTTATTCACATCATGTACCTGCATATTTGCGTTTGTTACAAAAACCACTTTCCCAAGCTCCTATCTCTGTGAAACTACCACACATAATATATAGATGTGAAAAATGTGATTTGAAAACACATCATGATCGTTAATATTTGCTTTCGTCAGAAAAACCCCTTTCCCAAGCTCCTATCGCTGTGAAACTGCCAAAATAGCGTTTTCAGCCCCTAAAGAGCACGACTCTGTTAGGACACATGTGTTTAGTATTATTCCATTTTGTTGAATCATATTAGATAAATAATGACTTTTCAAACATTAATTTAAGTAATTTTGACATTTTTTATATTTAATTAATCAACTATGCATTTTAATATAATCAATCTGTTAAGTACCATTTTAATATATAGATGTGAAAAATGTGATTTGCAAACACATCATGCTGGTTAATATTTGCATTTGTCAGAAAAGCCACTTTCCCAAGCTCTTATCGCTGTGAAACATCCTAAATAGTGTTTTCAGCGCCTAAAGAGCACAAGACTGTTAGCACACACGTCTTTAGGATTAATCCATTTTGTTGAACCATATTTGGTGAATAATGACTTTACAAACAAGAATTTAAGTAATTTTGACATTATTTATATTTAATTAATGAACTACCCATTTTAATATAATCAATCTGTTAAGTACCATTTTAATATATAGATGTGAAAAATGTGATTTGCAAACACATCATGCTGGTTAATATTTGCATTTGTCAGAAAAACCACTTTTCCAAGCTCCTAGCTCTGTGAAACTGCCAAAATAGCGTTTTCAGCGCCTAAAGAGCACAACTCTGTTAGGACACACGTGTTTAGTATTAATCCATTTTGTTGAACCATATTTGATGAATAATGACTTTTCAAATATTAATTTAAGTAATTCTGACATTTTTTATATTTAATGCGCTGAAAAGGATTTTTAGGGAGTTTCACGGCGATAGGAGCTTGGGAAAGTGTTTTTTCCAACAAACGCAACTGTGCATGTGCATGATGAGCATACAAATCACATTTTCACATGTATATATATATATATATATATATATATATATATATATATATATATAATAAAAAATGATACTTAATATGATTGTTTTTGTTAAAATGCATAGTTTATTATTAAAGTACAAAAATGTCAAAATTACGAAAATTCATGTTAGCAAAGTAATTATTCATCAGATGTGATTCAACAAAATGGATTAATACTAAAGACGTGTGTCCTAACAGAGTTGTGCTGTTTAGGCGCTGAAAAGGCTATGTAGGCAGTTTCACAGCGATAGGAGCTTGGGAAAGTGTTTTTTCTGACCAAAGCAAATATTGTATGATGTGCTGGCAAATCACATTTTTCACATGTATATATTAAAAATGATATTTAATATGATTGTTTATATTAAAATGCATAGTTCATTAATAAAATATAAAAAATGTCAAAATTATGGGAAAAAAAGGCTCGAAAAGTCATTATTCATCAAGTACGATTCAACAAAATGGCTTAACACTAACGACATCTGTGCTCACAGAGTTGTGTGTCTTATGCGCTGAAAACGTTATTTAGGCAGTTTCACAGCGATAGGAGCTTGGGAAAGTGGTTTTTGTAACAACCGCAAATATGCAGGTATGATGAAAATAAAAATCACATTTTTCAGATGTATATAAAAAAAACTATCGTAAATATGAATTTATTAATGAAGTGAAAAAAAATTCAAAAATTCATTTGTGAAAAGTCATTACTAATCAAAAATGCTTTATAACAATGGCTTAATATACACTTGTACGTACACTTTATGTCAACATTTTATTTTTTTATTATATTATTTTATTGATTTTATTATTCTTTCAAGACTGAGCAGAAACCCGACCTTCTCCCAAATGATATATAAATGAGTCTGCCCACATATTAAGTTAATAACCTTCTGAGCATCAGCAAACAGTATGGCTCATGAATTTAGACCCAATTTTTACGTGTCAGTCGGTCCACCATGGATAATGATGTGACCAGTTTGGGTTTTGAAGTTGGCAAAAACTTTGGCGAATCCCTAGGAAAAGGAAATCTGACCTATCTGTCAACGAATTATGAAACTGATGGGTGCATAACCAACACTGTGCTAGCCAGGTTCATCCTTGCAGTGACAGGAGATCTATTGGACTGCATGCGTAATAATCCGAGTCAACTCCAACACACGTGTTTCATTGAACCCGACATGTGCTATCTGCAGATGAATGCCTACACATCGGTGTTTAAACCGTGGTCAAAATACAAGGTGGCTAGGGGTTCTGAAATTGTGCGCTATCAAACACACTCCATCCCTGGAAAAAAGTTATCAAAGTATCGCCAAAGCCGTCTTCTGCGACTGGCGAGATGAGCCTCACATCAAAACTGGTCTGAACTAGATTAAAGAGAAACCAAAAGAAATTTGCATAGACCAGGTGTATGAAGACTTTGTGGACTATTGGACTTTCACTCCTCTCCGGAAGCCCCTGACCATCCACATACATGGGAAACTTCAAAACATGCCACGTCTATTCTGACTGCGAGAAAGACCTGAATACTGAGTTCACCTCTGCGCTCCAGAGAATTGTTGAAGTGAGAGTCAACGACCAAAATATTTTTGTTAATCATCTTCCTGTTGATAAAGACGTTGTTTGTTGACTAGAAATGTTCATGAACAATGTGCGAGAGTATACTAAAAATTGGGATTCTTTATTCAATGCAAATACCGTGTATACTTTGCACACTTATGTGCAACAAGGTTTATCTTTCTTGGTTGCTGAACCTTTTGAATGCAAAACTAGTCATGTATTATTCATCTTAACCTATGTAACCGATACGTGTGTTTTACAATTGCTTAGAAAGGAAAATGTTGATGACGGTAAAATCTTTGTTTATCTGATTTAATATTTAATGCATACAATATGTAAACCTTACTCACATCATAAGTTTTCTGAGATAAAATACTAAATCTATACCTGCGTATGATCATTATTGTTCTGTTACTCCAAACATGACTGAATGTTTGATGAAGAGTATGTATTATCCGCAGTCAGACCCAGGGTAGTATGGTGGCGTTGAGAGTTTGCAAAGAGCTATTGTTGAGAAACAGGTAAAAGAGTTAATGATGCTGAAATAAAAAAAAAAACTGGTTAGCAGAGCAGGATGTGTACAGTCTACATAACCAGTATCAGTTTATTTTAAAAGAAACAAAGCAGTTGTCTGTTAAATGGTTGTACAGCCGAATTATTTTTTTTAATGCAGAAAAAGGAGTCATTGTGCTTTTCAAGTTAACGGTACCGGGTCGGATCCACTGGAGCACTGCTACTGAGACCGTAACCTTTGATGTAGTGTGGCCAGAAAAAGTTCGGCAAATGGTGTAAGGACTTTGACTACATTATTAGAATGGATTTCTTTTCACCAGGACTACAGGCGCAAATGGAGAAGCAGTACATCTCAACAAGACACATATAACATCAGAGCAACAAATTTCTCCAAGAACCAGGTTTCAGACTGGGTATCTGATAACAAAGGGAACTACGAAGTGAGGTACGAACTAACCAGCTGGCACAATCTACAATGCTACTTTAAACAAATCAACAAATTATTCCACAAATTGGGAAGAAAAAAAGAAACAGCAGGAATAATAAATAAAAAGACAAAATGTGTTTTCTGAGGTCATCATTTTACTACTCTTTCAAGACGGAGCAGAGACCCCACCTTCTCCTAAAAATCTTCACATGTGGTATATAAATGAGTCTGCCTACATATTAAGTCAAAAACCTTCTGAGCATCAGCAAACAGTATGGCTCATGAATTTAGACCAAATTTGTACAAGTCAGTCGCTACCATGGATAATGATGTGACCAGTTTGGGTTTTGAAGTTGGCAAAAACTTTGGCGAATCCCTAGGAAAAAGAAACTATCTGACCTATCTGTCAACGAATTATCAAACTAATGGGTGCATAACCAACACTGTGCTAGCCAGGTTCATCCTTGCAATGACAGGATAACTATTGGACTGCATGAGTAATAACCCGAGTCAACTCCAACACACGCGTTTGATTGAACCTGACATGTGCTATCTGCAGATGAATGCCTACACATCGGTGAAAAGGCTGTTTAAACCGTGGTCGAAATACAAGGTGGCTAGAGGTCTGAAATTGTACGGTATGAAACACACTCCATCTCTTTTTAAAAATTCAAGGTATCGCCATCTTCTGCGACTGCACAGATGAGCCTCACATCAAAACTGGTCTGAATGAGGTTAAAGAGAAACCAAAAGAAATTTGCATAGACCAGGTGTATGAAGACTTTGTGGACTATCGGACCTTTCACTCCTCTCCGGAAGCCCCTGACCAGCCACATACATGGGAAACTTCAAAACATGCCACGTCTATTCTGACTGCGAGAAAGGCCTGAGTACTGAGTTCACCTCTGCGCTCCAAAAGAATTGTTGAACCAAAGTATTTTTGCTAATCGTCTTCCTGTTGATATTGACGCTTTTCATCGACTAGAAATGTTTACGAAAAAGGTGCAAGATTTTACTAAAAATTGGGATTCTTTGTTCAATGTAAATACCGTGTATCCTTTGCACACTTATATGCAAAAAATGTTTTTTCTTTCTTGTTTGCTTAAACTTTAGAATGCAAAACTAATCATATGCATCTTAACCTATGTAACCGATTTGTGTGTTTTACAATTGCTTAGAAAGGAGATGATGATGTCAGTAAAATCTTTGACAAAGCTGTCACCAACTCATTGATACTCAGTGTTGTTTTTCCTCTTTCGGTTACTCCTCCTAGGTGTTGCCACAGCAGATCGTTGGTTCACTTATTTGATTTGGCACAGATTTTAGCTGGATGGCAGACGTAACCCTCCCCAATTTTATCCGGGCTTGGGACTGGCACTGAGAGAGCACTGGTGCACACAACCTAGTCGCTGAGGTTGGTTCCCTGGCTGGGAATCAAACCCGGGCCACAGTGGTGAGAGCGCTGTGGGCTAACCACTAGTCCTCCAGAGACCCTTGTCGATTCTCAATAATGCCTGTATATACATAAATTGTGTAAAAGCCTGCATGAATATCAGCAGGATTAGGCGCTTCTGTTTCCTGGTACGTTAACAGACCAACGGGATTCATACTGAGCCTATATGCTAAGTTTCAATTAGCTTTGAATGTATAGGTTTTTTGGGACACAATGCATATTTTATTTTTCGTAGGTTTATAGTTGATCTCCATTTCGATATCCATTTTTTTCATTGTTTTGTTGATTTCACTAAACAGTTCTCTGATACTTTTGTTAAACGCGTGAGCGATTTGAAAGTAATTGGTTTGTACTTTATTTCCATCCCTCAGAGAAACATGACATAGGCAGTCATGCTCTGACTGTCTATAAGTACCGACTCTGGATATATTGAACCTCTGATAGTGACACCTCCCAAATTTAGTAGTATAGTGTGCGATCTTATTATTAGGGTAAATGTCCATCAACGCATTGCTTGGAAGGGTCACAAAGAACCCACACTCTTCCATGGTTTAATGATTGTAGGTTTCAGTTCTGTTCACAACGATCCTTTTTAAGCTCTAATGTTATGTTAACTACGTATTCAGCCGGAATCCAGGAATTAAACTTATCGGGCCACCCCACCCATTTCACCAGACAAACTTTTTTTCCAGTTTCGGGCCTTTTCAGACAAGATTTTCTCTTATTTGAATGCCTTGTCCTTCCCAATAATAATCTTTTGTAACTCAGATTCAGAAACTGTTCCCTCAATGTTTTCATCATAGTCTTGTAATTTATATACAAGGGGATCTCTCAGGATCTGTTTAGAAATTGTAAAATCCATAAAGTTTTGCTCATAGCCTTTTTCAAACTGTCTTTTTAAATGGGAAATTCTAACAACATCACTAACTTTTAACTTGAATTTTTGTATCTTTATTTTTGATGAAAATAGTCCATAGAGGGTTTTAAATACTCTAAAGGAATTGGATTCGTTGACCTTGACAGGCTTCATTTTGATGCTGGAATAGTAATTGTGATTGCATGCTTGAACCAAAACCTGTACGAATTCACTATATTTCTCATGTTGAAAGCTGTAAAAGATCTCCACATCCTGGTCCTGGTCTCCACATAATGAAACTTTCACACACAGCTGTTTTTTGCCCCTTACCTGTAACAAAGAAAACAATGTTATGCTTTATCATTAAAGTTTGAAAATCTTTGTCCAAAATCTCCTTCCTTTGGCCAGTTTGTAGTTTTTTTGGACCCTACCTCCCTTTAGAAAGGAATCAAAAGCTTTAGTTACCTCAGATCTGGTCTTGTTTTCTAACACATATACCCAGGCATATTTGGATAAATTGTCTATACACATTACCATAAATTTTGTGTCATTACTCTCTGACAGGTTGCTCATGTCAACTAAATCAGCTTGTACATCAATGTTCTTTACAAAAAAAACCTTGTTTCTTTTAAACTTTACAGATACTGATTTATGTAGACTGTACACATCCGGCTCTGCTAACCAGTTTTTTAAATTTCAGAATTATTAACTCTTTTACCAAACTCTCAACGCTACCATGTGACCCTGAGTCTGATAATATATATTCTTCATCAATTCTTCATAATATAATATATATTCTTCATCCATCATTGATTCATTTTGAAGTATCAGAACAATAATGATCAAAACCAGGTATAAATTAAGCATTTAATCTCAGAAAACCCAAAAAGAATCCCAAAATCTCACATATTGTTCTTTAACATTTATAGTTGGTAAACAACTTCTATATCAACAGTAAGATGATTAATAAAAATACTTTGGTCGATGACTCTCAGTTCAACAATCTTTTTGGAGAGCAGAGGTGAACTCAGTCTTCAGGCCTTTCACGCAGTCAGAATAGACGTGATGTTTTTTGAAGTTTCCGATGTATGTGGCTGGTCAGGTGGTTCCGGAGACGAGTGAAAGGTCCACTAGTCTTCATATACCTGATCTATGCAAATTTCTTTTGGTTTCTTTTTGATCTTGTTCAGAACAGTTTTGCTGTAATGCTCACCTCGCCAATCGCAGATGAATGCTTCAGCCATACTTGAATTTTTTCCAAGGATGGAGTGCGTTTGATACCGCACATTTTCAGACATTTAGCCAACTTGTATTTCAACCATGGTTTAAACAGCCTCTTCACCAATCTGTAGGGATTCATCTGCACATAGTACATGTCAGGATTGAACAAACACTTGTGTTGGACTTGACTCAGGTGATTAATCAAGCATCCGTGGCAGTTGTCTTTCAGATTTTGATCAATAATTGTTTCCAAAAGTTCTCATGTCACTGCACAGATGATGGCTAGCACGGTGTTGGTTATGTTCAGTTTCATAATTCGTTGACAGAGAGGTCAGATTTCTTTTTCCTAGAGCATCTTATTTACATAGTCGTGGCCCATGTTTTTGTACAATTCTAAAACAATGATCTCATCGGATGGAGTTTTCTCTTCTTTCTTTTAATCACACACCTGCCTCTCGCCCCAATTATTTCACTATCCCCTTATCTTAGTTTTAACTGTGGCGAGAGTTCAGTCAGTTTATGTATCAAAAACAACATTAGCCTTCACCTTAAAAACACCACCTACAAGGTCACACCAGTTTGTTCTCACAAAAACATCCTTTGTAGGATCATAGGCATAAAGTCACCCTTCTAAATGTACTAGAAATGGTACAGTGTAGTATATAAATGAAGCTCTGAAAATTAATATATGAGGTGATTTAAGGTCAATTTTCAATATTGTTGCATAGATACTCTTTGACATAATACTGATTAACAAATGATAGTGATATAGATAAAAGGAAATTCCTCCATACATCCCTCCTCTGGGGCTTATCAAGCCCCACCTACCTCAAGAGAGCAATCTCACAATCCGGTTCTTTCATATATATCACCTAGTGATCAATCACTTCTTCTTCTTACCAATAACAAAATCCGGAAACCGCTCTATTGTGGAGAACAGGACCAAACATCTCCCCTCACACTTGACTACTGTTGGGAACTTTTTCAGTGAAGACCAGGAGACTTGGATTCTCTTCAGGAGGATTCTTTATTGAGAACGCGCTGGTCGGTCGCTGCAGTCATCAAGTCTAACTAAGGCTGTGATACATTAGAGTTTTATACATTTCAAGGAGGATTGATACATGAAGGTGGAGACAAGCATGCAAATGCACTACAGGAATCAGCTGGTTACCCCAGCCCTGATCTCATCAGCATAACAGTGTCATTCAAATGCATGGA